TCGTTCCTTTCCTTTCTTCATTCTCATCTGTTTTGTTTATGTTTTGTATTAAGTTTTTATGTAAAAATTTTAAAGCTTTATTAAAAAAATAAAAATAAAGTTGGAATTTTTGTCAAACTTTTATTTAGAAATATACATGTATATCGCACCCACATGAGGAGAAAAATAAGTATCCTATTCTGAGCTATGTGCCACTCCGATCATTGGATATATCTTTATAGTAAATAAAATGTCACAATCTGAAATGTTCTACACTAAAAAAAAAATAAAGAAAAAGCAAAAAATTAAAAAGGCGTAGTCACAGGAAAGCCGCCCGCCCTCCACGATTCCCGGACCAAATGGTGCCGGAGCGCCCTCGTCACAATTTTACACCCAGAGGAAGTGAGAGTTAACTGTTATCGAGCGATTATTGTTACTGAATGGTTATTGATGTGATACTGCGGGGAAGTTGTGAGGAATTTTGGTCCCTACGGCCATCCGTTGGGTCATTATCCTGCGGTTGGGGAGGAGAGGAAAAGTGTCTAGTGTGCTTAAAAAGCTGTCGTGAGAAACAATATGTGGGCTTGTAGTTGCCGGCTCCTGCCGATGACCTTCCCCTCTAGAGTCCGTGACCTGAAACAAGCATGTAGAGTGCACTCTTCTGACCTTCTTTGCTCCATGCTTGCTCTCCATCTCCCGTCCCTTGCTGCATGCTTGTTCTATGTCTGACTTGGAAGGTGTTGCAGCTACAGAGGGCAACTAGCTCCCAAGTCCATGGTCTGCTCATGTCTGTGGGCATGGGTACCAGCCCAATGGAGCTTGTCCCTGCTCCTCAACCACACTCTGACATCAGTATAGATCAGGGGTAGGCACCCTCGGCCCTCCAGCTGTGGTGCCACTACAAATCCCACAAGGCATTGCAAGATTTGACAGTCAGAGGCGTCAAAGCCAAGGGCAGATGCATGATGGTATTTATATGGTCACAGCAGTTGGAGGGCCAGAATGTGCCCACCCTCGATATAGACTGGGGGCTGGAGTCTGCCCGCCCTCGGTATAGACGGAGGGCTGGAGTTTGCCCACCCTCGGTATAGACGGAGGGCTGGAGTCTGCCCGCCCTCGGTATAGACGGGGGGCTGGAGTCTGCCCACCCTCGGTATAGACTGAGGGCTGGAGTTTACCCACCCTCGGTATAGACGGAGGGCTGGAGTCTGCCCACCCTCGGTATAGACTGAGGGCTGGAGTTTACCCACCCTCGGTATAGATGAAACTTTTGTTTCAGACCATGATGCATTTCACCCAGAAGGGCTTAGTGATGGAGGTCTACTACGACTATGCCCTTCTCGGTGAAATACGTCTGGGCAGATATTCTGTGTTCACTGTCTGGAACAATAAAGTTTTATTTATGCTGATGTCATCAGAAAGCGTCCGGTTTCTTCCACTGTTGCCCCCCATATTTCTTTCACGACAGGTGTTCATTAAAAGGGAGGTCTCCACCTGCAATTTCCGTTTCAGTATTGGCACATGTGGCTGCTGCTTGCACTGAGAATGGAGCATTGATGTCGGGCTGGTTGTGAAGGACGTGGTTGCTTGACAACTAGCCAGCAAGTTGGCTTGCTGGGTGAATGCTTTATTTGGCCCTTGAGGCCACACTGCACTTGTGCCTGAACTTGTCTGGTTCTTCCCCCAAAACAAACTGGTAACAGAGTTTGGAGATGCCATGGTATTGGTGGTTAGGTAACAGGCACATGTATAGTTCACCTGGATCAACCAATGGCTAGGTCATCTTGTTTGGTCATCAGGAAGAAG